AATTGACTGCTGGCTGGGCAACGATTCACGTAACATCTTTCTTGAAAGGATTCATGTCCAGTACGTACTTGCTTGTTGAAATACAAATATTACAATATCAAAATTGTGAAAAGATAGAATGATTTACAAAATTGTGAAAAAATAGGAGAAGGATTTATAACAGAAAATTAAGAAGTTATGCAAATTAGACATTTCAATATTAATCGACTAATTTTCTTCTACTTACCTCAGGTCATAAATATCGTAGGACTGAATGTCGTAGATAATAAGTTTTCCAACAATAATGACCACTCAAAGTAGGCTATTGGCAGAAACGAAACGAAACCTATTGTATGCGTTGGTGACATCAATAGACAAGTAAATGAATTTTGAATGAAATGTATGAGTTTATGCTATCCTCCAACTTTCGCTATCACTTAGTAATGATAAAGAACCATCCTGATCAAAACATGGATTCTGATTACAAATATAATCCCAATTTCAGTAAATTTTTGGAGAAGAGGATGATTTAGGACTAAATGGAAAACCAACAAAATCACTTTGCCATATTATTCGATCAGAATCATTTTTAATTTTTAGAAAAAAGCGAAGTTTTTTCTTTTAGGTATGACAAAAAAACGAGGAGGTGTGTTTCAATAATCCGAAGATCTGGAAATTATATCAGAAATCAATTCTTGAAGTAGAAAACTGTAAGGTTTAAATGACCGAAGTGGAAAAGAACAAAGCGTAAAATTCCTTGTGATTTTATTTTGTTGTTTTGAATCAGAAGACATTGACACCTGCCTAATAATAAACAATCGTTTGAGAAAGATTTAGAAGCAAAAAAGAATTAATGATGAATTCTAATACTTGAAAGTTATGAAAATAGTCTAATAATGCGTCACTGGGCTTTCGCACTTTTCACTGTTTCAAAAAGAATATAAATTTGAATGAGCACATCTTTCATTGGTAGAATAAAAATGGATAGCAGAAGAAATGTTAACTGCAACTTTGCTTAATTATTTTGAGTGAAATGTGAATACCATCATTTTTATATAAGCTACAGTAAGCCTTAGAGTGGCCTTGGCACTGAAAAACTTTTCCCTTTAGCGCATGCAAGTTCAAAGTTCAAGTGAAATTTTTCTACTCTCTTTTAAATTAAGTTTTAGCTTCTGTTGGTTGTTACCAGTTTTCTTCCATCCACCATTTCTTACCTTCTTTTTATTCTATTTCATTTATCATTTATACGCTTAAAACCATGGATGGCATGGTTGCTTTTTTGCTCGTTGAAAGATTTCTAATTGCCTAAATATTTAGTTTAAAATTCTTTATTGTTATTAAATTATCTCAACTAGGATTTAATTTTTTTGACATGTTTTTAATAACTCGGTTTTTTTTTAATACTAGTAATTTGTTCATTACAATGTTTGAGTAGATTTCATCAATTTTGCTTTAATTAATAATTTATCCATGAGATATATATCCACTGCGTTTTTTTAATCCTGTCTCATTCACAATCGGTAAGTAGAAATGTTATAAGAAAAGGTCAAATTATTTCTGTAAGTAATCACGAAAGTGCCATATTTATCATTACATGGATAGCAAGTTGGTATGTCTGACAAGTTCATCAACTTTCAAAACACTCTTTTATACATATTTTAACCTCCTTCTTCTCCGGGAATTCATCCTCCAAAACATAGACCGTAGGTATCTCTATTGGGTGATATCTGACTTGAATAACTATTAAATTCGGCTATTTAAGTCGATCAGTATATTCTTGTCATTGAAATTTAAGCCTTCTCATTCCATTTGATTCATCTTCTCTCTTGCTTTCAGTTGCTAATATGAATAAAACAATTTGTTGGGAAGATTAGCTCGTTTTGAAAATTTTACACAGAATGAAAAATTTTACTAATACAATGAACCAGTGGAAAGGATGGCTGTTCGGAAATATCAGTTTATCAGGATAAAAAATGGATAAGTGTGTTGGTTTAGTCCGTGAGCTTTTCTGACAATATCAATTGTTTAAGTTTTTCAGAAACAAATCGTAATGATTGCATATTTCGATCATTATTTCATTAAAAGCAACAGTTTATAATTTATTATCAGCGACAGGTATAGTAACAACAGTGACCATATGCTAGGTAAGTTGAAATTAAGCTAAGTTTTTCTAAGACAAGAAATTTCAGAAATGGTCTCGGGCAATATTAATTAAGCGCTTGTTAATTATTTTGAAAGTAAAATAGTACAAACAATAAGGAATTGGAAACAATAAAAGCCCAGTATAAATCCCACACTACCACGTATTACCATCAATTTGTGTATGAGCATCGTGCTTAGATATTAGATTGCACGAAAGCTCCGAACTACCTACGATCTGTTCAATATCAATATCAGAGTAAAAGTTGATAGCCGGCGTAAGGAATGAACCTGGCACGGCTGGTTCGTAGTAATCATATTCCAAATCGTGATCAGTATTGAATGATAGTGATGAATGCTCATCGTTACGTGGGGTCATCTGTGGTGAATTTGTTGCACGGGACCATAATATTCCTGGAATGAAGAAGATATATTCTGACCCAAAGACATCAACATGTTCAGGCTAATAATCAAAAAAGTTTTAAGATAATAGAATGTGACATATTCTAGGAATTATTGATTTTTACGAAACATTCGAACTTAGCAATTTCTGATTTCAAATGCTCCAAATTTGAAAATTTCATGTGACACAGTCTAAAAACTCGGACTCCTCACAAATTTTAACCTTTATCACGGAGAAAACGTGGAGTCGATGATGCTGAAAGCTGTATACCGATAGAACGTTTTGTGATAACGGTTCTGCTTGATCTAATTTCGGTTGTGTCTGTTTGTCCAGATTGTATCATGCTCATATTAGGTCTAAAATAAAGTTCAATAAAATCAAAGTATTAGTTTTGAACTTATTGGTAAATTACACTTAATTACAAAAATAAGTTACAGACGTAGTCATTTACTTAATTAGTGAAGGAGTGAAATTTCAGAATAATTAAGATACCTAGGCTCCTGCAATAAATTACCAATTCTCAACTGTCGATCTCGCTTCCATTTTGCTGTCCGAATAACCGATATAGTGGCATAGGAACACAGAAGTGGTGGAAGAGATATAATTAAAATAATGAATAAAGTTGAAAGGAGGAATGGCAAACTGCGATAGCAAAACAAGCAGACATTTGAAAATTTCAGTGTTATAATTGATGATAACATCAGCTCATCGCTTGCTGTAACAAAATAAATATATGCACGAATTCTGCTATTGATTTAAAATACAAAATTCGAGAGTAGACATGAACGATTTGCAACTGTGTTGTCGTCTTTGATGAATCGCATTCCAGATTTCTTTGGAAGACGTGAGTTCTGGTTTTGTATTTAACGTAAAAGATGCGGTAAAAAGCATCAGCCATGAAAGTGGGAACTCAGGACTTGTAAACAAGTGAATATCTGACCTTTCAATGTCAATGATTTATGCAGCATCATCAGTTTACTAAGAATAGCAATAATAAAATTCTGAATTCATGAAATTAAAAAATTTTTTAGATTAAATTGGAATTCAATTAATTTTTCCATGGTACTAACCATTCCTCCATTCAAAATTTATTTCCACTCCCGAGTTGATGTTTAATGAGCTGTTCACTTTCAGAAGTGAAATGACGAAGTAATCTTCGGAAATGAACTGTAAACTGCTTTTAAGAATATGGCTGTTTATTTCGGAATCGTAAACTAATTCCTGAAATGAAATTAAAATGTGGTGACGAAATTTCCTTAAAAAGAACTTCATGGCTTAGTGATGAATTCGTTTTTCTGCTGTAGAAATTATGAAAATGAACCTGTTTTTTTAAATCGCGATAAATTGCAAGTCTAAATTCATTGGCTATCGTAGAATCGTATTTTAATTTCAGATGCAGAAATCTTCCATGAGATTTCAGTGTCCAATCAGTGATTTCCTTACATGTCCGAGCAAAAAATCTTCCAGCATTATGACTGAGCAGACATCCACACGAGCATAATGTGTCACTCGTAGTAGTGGCCGGGACTGAAACATTCCCGATTTCAATGCGTGTTCCTCTCGTTTTCAAGACTCTTACCTGTGCAATTACCGGCATCGCAATCCAAAGACTCGACAAAACTGCCTCCACACAAATTTCCGCCGTTTTGAGGGACAGGTGAATCGCACAGGCGCCATCGTCGTCGCAGTCCATGTCCGCAACTCACTGAGCAGACGCTCCATGAGGACCAGTCTCTCCACCCGCCCTCGATCTGTCCCACTGAAATATTGTGACCCTGTGGTATGAAATATTCAGTGAAATACAACGGACATTCTTCAAACACTCATTGCAACATCGAAATCTTTTTACTGAATCAAGTCGAGACTGCTTATTGGCATATACTAGAAGGATAGTGCAATACCTCTTCGTCTGTCTTAGTTTCTCAATGTTCACACCTTCTAATGAATATATTCCTGCACACATCGGTTATCAGTCTCATCCCTGATATCACTGCAACAAGCTCTTCTTCGAGATCTCACTCTTGTTGTTTCCCATTAATGATAATAACAATTATTATTATTACTATACGCGACGATGATTTTCTATAAAGCACTGAATGGAAACAATAGAGCGCATAATTGCTTCGTGTCTATTGCTGGCCATATCTTCTTCTCTCTCCCCTCTCTCCTTTCTGTCCTAGGCCGTGATGTATCATTGTGCTGCTTTCTACTTTTCCCCATTGGATATTGGACATTTTGGACATATCTTTCCCGAATCAATGAGCATTCCTCTCTCTCTTTGCTCCATTAAGTCTAGCCTTCACTGGGCCACCGCCCCCTCAACTATTCATAGAATATATACCTTTTGCATACAAATGAATCAGATTGCAACGTAATTTGAGTTTATAATTAAAACCAAAATACCGATTAGTCTTCCATTTGCTGTCTGTGAAACGAATATCAGTTCTTTAAAGCTTACTTTATAACAAAAACATCTTAGTTCTCTAAGCTAATTAATAGCTAATAAGGTGCGGAAGAAGATTTGGATGTCCAACTCATAATAATTACTTCAGTCTATTAATCAAATTTAATTGTCAAAAGAATTATTTCGTCATTTCCTTCCTTTTTAGTCATATTTTGATGAATTGATTGAGCTACTATTTGGTTTCTTGCATCACAAATCGTTTATATTTTTTCTTTACAGGCGAAATAATGATAAAGATAGTGTGGAAAGAGTAGTACAGTATTGCGAAATGCAATTGATATAAAGAATGAGAATATGTAAAGTAAGATTTAAATGCAGAAGTTGAAAATAATTTGAAGATTAAAATTGATTAGCACTCAGTTGAACCATTTACCTCTTGCTAATATCACAATCAAAGGAAGACGTGTACTTTATTCAAGTATATTAATACTTGGAATTATAATGGGAAATGGAGGCAGAGTGGTTGCTCAGTGGATTTACACGGAATAATTTATTTCTTTCAGTCACGCATCTTTCATTATATAATTATTTTCATTAGTGTCTTTCAAACATAAAGGAGCACTTTTTCGTAAGGAATTGCCTTTAAAATCCTATTTTCATCTTGCTGGGAACGTTTTGCTGAACACTTAAAGCTATCTACATTTCTTCAGATTGAAATTTGAAATTAACTATTTCAAAATATATTTCAAAATGTGATGCAATCCGAGATCTTCACCTGTTCAGTTATTGGATCAAAATAAATCGGTCCCCAAATTGAAGAGAGAGTGTCGGGGTTACTTTCGCATTGATTTAATTTTTTGTTATTGCAAAACTTTTCCGGTTTGATGTACTAATCTTTCCCATCCCTTTGTGACAGTTTTCAATCTTAGCAGTAAGTGAACAGTTCGATTTATCGCTAATCAGTGCTAAATGCATTAGTCGTAACTCAGTTAATATTTATCAGAACTATTCTAGGTGTTATTTTTTCTGATCCTTTGGATAATGTTTATAATAACGCGCAGTGATGTGACTTTTGAATCAATTCGAAATCGAAAAAAAATATTTTATTACGAAATTTTTACTTTAAAATATTAAAAGTAAGCTAGCAGTTGCTAATTAAACTGCACTTTGGACTTAGCAGATTATCGACAATATGGAACTTTTATTTCAAATAGGCAAAATATGAAATGAATATTTATTAAATTTTAGTGAATCATGAAAGCATTGATTGTGAAATGAAAATGTTAAAGCAGCAGCAGCAGCAACATATGGCGAAGATATGGTAAACAATTGCCTCACTTTAATTAAGTTGCCATTGAAAGTAACTAATGAAGCTTATGCTCCATATGCGGAAAATAAGCGGAATATTCATCGACAAAATAATAATATCGAGTGGAGCATACAACAAATAAAATTACAGTTAGTGACTGTAGGGGATAATGAGGGAACACAAGGAATGACTTCCATGTCGCACTTAGAGCATAAACAGAATGACTAATAGTTAGTTCTTGAGTGCGAATAAAGTCAATTCCCAATCCTTCGTGATATTCCAATGAGTAAGTCAAAAAAATCAAAAGTTAAAAACTAACAATTTTCAGTGTAGACGCATCGCCGTGCCCATTCATTAAAGCGTGCGGTAAACTTCTGCACTGATACAATTTGGAAGCAGAATTGCGCATAGATGATATCGAACTGATAACATGGCAGTTCAAGTGCTTGATGCGATAACTCTTGAAAGATGAAGTTAATCAATCTTTTCTATTACTACTGAAAAAAATAACCGCGAATTTATAAATCGTACCCTCCAAGGGGATATTTCTTGAACTATCTGCTAGGCACTTACAACTATTTCAAAATCTTTTAGAAAGTGAATCTTTGAATGTTTCATTTGTCTATCTGGAAAAGCAGTGATTTGTCAAATATATGATATACTGCTTTCTATCTGTATGGTAATCTATTGAAACTCGATCTCATCCACACAGAAAAGCTTCTTCACTGCTTGTGCAATCTGACCTTTGTTATAAGGTCATATTTCCCTCAAACTATGACAATTTCAATAATAAAAATTGGTACCGGAAAAAACAATACCCCAAAATTTTCTATCTGTAAAAGAAAATTCATCGGAATTAAACATAAAAGAGTGTATATTTAATTGCTAATTGTATAATAAAGAGTCAAAGATTAAAATGCTAGTGATGACAGAAGGATAAATTGACTATAGCCCGTAGTCAACGACTGATTCCTTTCTGTTTATCTGTAATATACAATGATTTGATCAAATGAAAGAAATAGAATTAACGGAGGCCTTTTTTTAATTTTATTACTTCATGGGTGAGGGAAGTTAAAAAGCTTTTCGAGTGTGTGCTACTTCTCCAGTCAACACTTTATTCTGGCCGGAGGCGATAAATGCTGCATTTTATGGGTTTTACTCGTTCGAAATCAATACTCTGGACGAATTAATCTTTCCAATTTACACCACAGAGACGGAGATCACAGCTGCAATACCTATCTAATTTGTACTGTTGCGCTTATATTTGCGGATTGGTCTGATTTCCGATAGCTTTGATAGGATTAAATTTTGCGCATTAAACTGACCAATTTCGCCTTCGCTGTTCATAAAAAAGAAACAAAAAGGGATGAGAAGAAAAGGATGACTTTGTCAAAACTTTAAATCAATTTAATCTTGTGGATAAAAAGAAATACTAACCAATATCGTATTCTTCCATATAGTATGACTGCTCGAAATTTGAATCTTCCGGAACAGCAAAAATACGCATCTTAAATTCGAAATCTTGAACTGGGCATGATAAATTAGTCCAGATTATTTTCAAGTAATCAAAGCAACGAGGAAATATGTATGGCCTTGGCAGGCTTATTGAAATTTCATCTGTTTGCTGCAGCTTAATCGCTTTGATTACCTGTAATTCAAAAAGAAACTGCAGTGGTAATTTGAAGAAAAAGTAGCTCCAAAGTCGTTCTAATAAATTTTCTGAATATTAAAAGATATAAACAAATAAATTATTTAAGACAATCAAAGATGAAACGCTGTTCCGTTATTTCATTTCATATTTCAAATGAGAATTAGATGACATAGTAAGAGACAGAGATGAAATTCGATTTCATCATGGATTAAAATGCCAAAAAAGGAGATGGAATGGTTTTACAAAATTTATAGCTGTAGGAAAAGGAACTGACTGCAAAGGACAAAGGAGATGTCTTTCCCGTGACAAATGGATGTCTCAGAGAGTTAGTGGACAGTCTTAGAGATGGTTATTTCCTTAGAATTCCACTGAAACGAACGCTTAATTTCCCCTTTTCTTTAGAGAGATTCAACAAAAAGAGCGTCGATGCATGGTCCACCTGTGATTTTTTCACTTACAATAAACTGTTTGCTTATTCAAGTGCAAAAGAAGAGGAAGCTTTTAATTAGCCGAAGATTACATTCTTTGCATTTTAGTAATGATGGTAGAATGACTTTCCAAAATTAACATTCCGGTAATCACGTTTTAATTCTGAACAAACTCACGTTGATGTTTATGATAGACAACCGTGAAAATTTTTCTAAAAGCTTAAAACAAGTCAAGAATATATTATCTTGCATTAAATTGTTTGGACAAGCCAAACATCAAGCATGTCGATAAAATTTTGCGACATGTTTTTATCTGCTATCCGAAGTTTTAATTATCTACAAATATATTATCAATTCAAAAGTTATTAATTTAAGGGATTAACAATAACAGGAAAGAAAAGTAATCATACTAACCTGTACTATCCATCTACCATTCATTACGGCAATTCTATAAATTCCTGGAAAACATAACTGATAGCAGGGAAATATTACTTTTCTTTCCAGTAGTATTTCAGCCTCAGTCTCAAATTTCAATTCACCGTTCTTTTCAATATTTATTGCAAATGGAGCGTATTGTAAATGCAATGACAAATTCAGCCCACTACAGAAAATGTTAGAATCGAATTCTATCATCAATGGTTGACAAATAATTGGATTTTCCGGAATTTCCCAAAACTTTTCCCCGATTATAACGGAAAATTTGATGGTTGAAATATTATCAACCAGCAGTTCATAATGATCGGATGGAAATCCAAAGCATCTACACGGAAATATTGCATTTCCCATCGCATTTAGTGAACAGAGAGAACGATTCATATGACGAATTTGAAGAAAACTTGCTCGAGGACTGTGAAAAGACACCGCGGTGAATAGAAGAACTTTACGAGGAAATATGAATTCTTGCGACAGATTATTGCTTGGCAGATCAATTCTATTAGCAGAAACTGTTTGATCAATTAATATAAATAAGATTGAAATAAATGCAAGAAGCATAACAGGACATTCACGGGAGAAAATGGCTATCAGGGTAAAAAGTGAATATGACGAAGGTGGCGGTGAAGTGGTACCTTAGCGCCTCACACTCATTTCGGTTATCACTGAAATTAATATCTTGAAATAGAACAATGCATGTATCTATCATTTCGTTAACAGAAATGATTCATTCCTTACGTACAGCATTAATTTGAACATTTACAAAACCTTATTATCAATTTTAAAAGAGAATAGAATTGTACTTAATTCATAAAAACCAGTTGTAAGAAAGCTATTTCCAGAAAGGAGAGAAAAAAAACTTGGGAAACCAAAAAGTTCAAAGTTGAGAAAGTTCAGAAACTAACAGAGTAAAAACATTTTAATGAGAATTTAAAATCATCAGTGCATCATAATTTGACACCAATACTGAGAGCTTGAGACGATGCTATTGAGATGAGGCGAGACGAAATGCCCAGCAACAGAGCCAGAGAACTGAAGAAGTCTATTCTTCCTGGCCACTTCAGAAAGCTGCTCCGTGGTCTATCGGACTGAGCCTATTAGATCTTTGCACATTTCCGAGTAGATCTCTGCATCCCTAAATTTCCTTCCCAAAAGAGAAAAATGGAACTTACTATCCTTCAGATGGATTTCATTCAACAGTGACCAACAATCGGTCATTTTGTCAGAAGTAAACAGTCAATCGATATATGCAAATTTTGTACATACACGAATTAAAAGTATGTATTCTCAGTTTTCTTCAACAAATGATTTTGTTTCTGATAGAATGATTAGACGATATTATTTTTCACTGTCATCAAATTGTTGTTATTTTCAAATGTGATCACAAAATATACCGGTCGAATTTCATAGAAAAACACTAGGATTGATCAAGTAATCAATTTAGGCAATTTAGATATGTTAAGAAAAATGAACTGAATTTTTTCCAGCAAAAATTTGTCCTTTCCTCAAAGAATTTTGAATTGTTCAGTGAAGAGGGAGAAATCTGTTTAGTAAGGAATAAAGTATGGCAGATGGTTGATTATGTAATAAACGAAGATGCGGAAGAGGTAAAATCCAAAATGAACATGTCAGGCAAAATGAGAGAGTAGTTTAATTACAAGCCGGTTTCAACTGCTTCTGCAATGCTTTATGGAGTGGGAGGGACGAGAGATATTATAAAATAAATTATAATTCAGTTATTGTCTTTGAGTGACATTTTCCAAATCAGTCAAATGCACCCAAATTTTAGATAATTTTTACAACTGATGTAAATATAATGATGGGGAATCAATAAATGCAATTTAAATTGTAAAGTTGTAGCTGATTTAAGCACACAGTTGACGAAACATAATTTGAAGAAAAGGCTGTAAAAGAATGGCGCTGTTCCATCCATCAGTTAATTAAAATCCGTTCACTTATTTGTAATGGCAGAGCTGTGAAGTCTCTCTGCTTTTATTTCATTCAGTTAATGGCGGATGACTTGCAATGTTGAAGTTGGGAGGATCTGCTCGTGGATCATTTGGTGATATTTTCACTTGGAACATCTAAAAGATTGTTGGGGACACATCGATGACATCGTGGACAGAGAGTATTTTCCTAGTTAACAAATTATAGAATAGTAAGGTCATTAAAAAGTAGGACAGATAAACAAACTATTGAATATCCTGTCCCACCTCCGAAACAGTTGCCTAAGAGAGGAATGGACAAGAGGAGGAAGTGGTGACAATGCAGACTGCCGTCGCCTTTGCTTAAATGAACCTTGGGAGGTAGGAGTGCCGAGATAAGAGGATGGGATTGGATAAATATTAGGTGGCAAATTAATTGGATTATGGACGCAGAATATTCTCCATCAACCTCATCATCATCATCTCCTTCTCGATAATCATCATTAATTCATTCTCGGGGAGTTCAGATTTCAAAATTGATTTATGGAATTTGTCTTAATTTAATTCGCAGTATAATATCCACAGCATGTTTCTCAAAACTTGAATTAGATAGGTGGAGGTCAATTCAAACAATTGGTCACATTCTTACTGTGATCATACTTAGCAAATGGAAAAGAAATTTCTTTATTCCCTTAAAAGTACAATGTAACAGTTGGAAATGTGAAATAAATGCTTGTTACAAATTAAAAAGCATATCATTCTCAACCATTTTTTGGTTGAGAATGATATGCTGTGAAATCACATTGATAAAGTCATTTAATTGAAACTCTGAACTTTTTTCTTCGAAAATACATTCCAACTTTCTTTCTGATTCCTCCATTCTCTTTTAAGGAATCAAACCGCTTCAAGTTTTAGTGAAAACTCGAGGCGAACAAGTTTTAAAAATTATAAATTTTGACACAATATTTCACTCAACTTTTTATCAAATCTTTTGAAGAAAAGCAAGAATAAACTTTCGAGAGGTCAAGTACAACAACTGATGCTACAGTTTTGGATAAGGATCTTCACTATAAAAATTATCCTGTCCGTTGCTCAGCCTAATGAATGTTTTTTACTTCTTTTTATTGCAGTCTTTTTAACCAAATTTTAACATTCATCCAATCATCCCTGCAGCTTGCAAGATACTATCATTAATGTAAATTATAATTGTTTTAGATTTTATTTAAGCACAGACGATCTTCTGAGTCTTTATTAAAGAAAAAGTGCACGATGAATTCCTGCTCCTCAATGGTTCAAAGATGGCAAATAAGATCATTTCAAAAAAATCAAAGGATTGCAATTGTTGGAGCGATCAGCAAATCACTGTGACCGATGAAAAAGGAATGAATGAAAATGGGTCGACTGAAAGCGCTCCTCAGTTCACTTCAGGAAGGAGATTGCTTGATGGAAAAATTTTTATTTGTACTTTTATATATTGTCTTCCATGTCAGCCGTGAAATGATTGCTTTGTGAAACAAAAAATGTGACATTACCAAATTTGATAGATAATTTTGTGATCGTAGTCAAAGCCATCTGATATTCTCAATTAATCCAACGGTAAACAATGCCAGGCTTTTTCGTCACTTTTTGGAAATGTTACATTTTCGAACGTAATAAAACGAGGAGGGGAAAAATTTCGCAAGTAATTGCCAGTTCACTATTCAATGAGTTGACATGACTGTCAGCAACTTTTAGCTTGACTTTAGCAGTGAAAGGTGAAGATGTCACAGTTTGTAATTATTGCTGCCAGCCGCGTGCACGTCCCACCACCGTCAATGTGCAAAATAAAGCCATGTTATCCTGCACTGCCTTACATTTATATTGGAAACTTTGTTGTGGTAGCAGGTTGAACAGCGATAAACTGGCCAGCTACAACGCTAATCAGAACACAATTTCGAGAATAATGTTATAAAATTTGCAAGTCAGTCTGCATAAGCAATTGCCTTTCTTGCTTGCCCATTTCAACTTTAGAAAGCATTCATTAAATACGTCTATTATCAATATTCAGAAATTATGAACACTTTTTAGATTATTGGAAATCCGTTTTGGAATATTTCTCATTTCAATGCGCACTTCCAGTGGCACTTTTTCTTCTTTGTAAGAAACAAGACAACGAAATCACAGCAGATTTGCTGCTTATTTCATCTATTATTTCAAATAAATTTTCAATGAACTGGTGGTGTGATCAGATTTTTATTTCAAATATTCATTTTTGTATGATTAAACATAATGGTAAGAAATACGAAATGGGAACAAAAGTAATTTTATAGCACAAAATTAATGATGAGTCATTCCCAGTGCTGTCCCAATATTGAAATAAGTAGCCATGATGATTGGTCATAAATAGATTGGATCGTCATAGGATTGTATAGTGACACTTAGAGTAGCAATCGGATGATTTTCAGCAACAACATCACATTCCAGAGATCGCGTATCATTATCAACATTTCCCACAATATGTGCTACACCCAAAGTTCGGTCATGAATTGTTCGGTCTTCCATCAATTCTATTAAAAACTTATGAGTCGTATCTGTGCTGAAAATTTCATAATTATAAGATATGAATGTTTATTATATAGTATCTTAATATCGAACACAATATGATATAAGTCTTTGAAATTTCAAACAATCCTAGTGATCAACTAGTGCTGAGAAAGTCAGGGATTGCTCTTGAACCAGCTTTTATGTAGAGCTGTTGTAATTTGGTTGTGCAGTTAATACA